GCCCTCCAAAGTATCTGATTCTCGATTCATATTGCATGAAAAATGAATACGTTGAAACAAACACGTTTCTCCCTACTAATGAATGCCTTTAATCACTGATGTATATGGGAAAAAGTATCATTTTCACATGTCCAGATCCAAACCATAATCTACCAACTCATACCAAACAGGCACATTCTACATTTGGATATCAGAAAGAACTTATCCAGAGGCATCGTGTTTCAGCTAGTATGTCTTTAATCCCATGGAAAGCTAGTCAGACACTATGTTATGGGAGAATGCCCGTGTCATCATCCCATTGCTTACCTGGGCCAGTCCTTTGCAGCATCCTTGCTTGTCTGACCTTTCTGTTTTCAAAGTACTCTCGAGACCATGAGCCTTCTCTCCTCCCCAGCTCAAGGTCTCAATGGGCAGTATGGCCCCCAGGGTGTACGTGGACCCATTTCTAATAAAGTCTTTTTATAAAGGGAGCAGAAGAGAGAAAACCAGAAGTTACGTGTCTTCATGTCCCTTTCATATTTTGAAAACCTACCTGAGACCAATTAACTCTTTTAAAGCTGTTCACCAGTATACCCAAAAGTTTACACTTTTCTAAAGTGTAAGTCTCCACTTACTTCTTAAATTTAAAACATAACTTTGAAGACTAAGGTGTTAATAGACACCCGTGGACCACAATAGCTATAACCCTGAGTTACAATGCTTACAGGCATAAGATGTCAAAGGTAGAGAGATTCCTAAGAAGTCCACACTTAGCCCCCTTCTTAATCTGCCTAGTACTTACATCCACCCCCTTTCAACACCTTACTGGCCTGGCAGTGCTGCCAGTAGTTACCTTCCCAGGAAGAATGGCACTGATTTCTTTTTCCTCTCCCAAATCAACAGATCCCTTCAGAAACAGTGCTGGTTTCCAAGAAACAAATTTCCAAAGCTCTTCTTCCAACAATAAACAGATATACCAACCACTTAAAGAGCTCTTCACTTAAATTCTGACGTGTGTGTGTGTGTGTGTGTGTGTGTGTGTATTGCTAATGTCCTGAATCCAGGACATTCTACTTATACAACTTATATTCTACTAATGAGCTACTTACCCAGCCTTAATTCTGACTTAAAAGTCTGGTGTTTTCTGCAAAACATCTCCAAAAAATGCAATTGCCCTAACTAGTCCTTATTCTCCAACACACCATGTCTTTACCCTTTTAGGTATAAAAAGGCATAGACTTAAACAGGGTATAGACTTGGTTCTATATCAAACAGCTTCTTATCAAACAGCTAGGTTATTCTCACCTCCTTTCCTGAGTAATTAAGCAATCCAAACAGAAACCAGCAAGCCTAATCACTCCTGGAAAGAAGGAACCTGCTCTCTTTCATAAGCTGATAAAAATGTTCCGCAGAACAGTGAGATTAAATGAGACTAATTAAATTCAAAAAGAAAAAAGTTTTAATTTAAGGCACCAAATAATCTAGCTATATTTATACCCACTTTATTCTACGTTTTTGTTTGGTTGGTTGGTTTGGGGCCACACCTGCAGTGCTCAGGGGTTACTCCTGCCTCTGCACTCAGAGATCATTCCTGGCAGGGCTCAGAAGATCATATGAAGTGTCAGGGATCAAGCTCAAGTCACCTGCATACAGGACAAATGTGCTACCAGCTGTACTATCTCCCCAACTCCTTTATTCTACCACTTCTTTTAGAAAATCCATAGTCTAAGAAAGCAAAACAAAATTATATTTTAAAATTCATGATTCACATAAGACTTTAACAAACTTTAAGAATTTTCAAATGAAGACAGAGAACAATACATTCATTCTAGACAGTGATATTGACTACAGGAAGAACTAAAGAAGTTATTTCTGAAATTACTAATAATTTCCTCCACTTTAAATTAAGCTATCCTTTTCTTCCAAATAATCTCCTTTAACAAAATCACTTCAATCATTCACCTCTATTCCATTGAGATTACAAAGAGGACAGAAATAGGTTACATTTATATCTTTGTCAGTGAAATGCCTACAACAACAACAAAAAAATCCTCAATAAGCAACACCCAGTGCACCATCTAGTGGAAGCTGTACAGTGTCTAATTTTGTTAAGTGCATAAACTCTAAATAACATGGGGGTGGAGGAAGAGCCCCTCTCTCCAACAAGAATATAAGCAGAGGTTGGAGAAATAGCATAAAGGTTCACTTGCCTTGCATGTAGCTAACCCAGGTTCCATCCCCAGCATCCCATATGGTCCCCCAAAAACCACCAGGAGTGATTCCTGAGTGCAGAGACAGAAGTAACCCCTTGAGCATTGCCAGGTGTTGCTCAAAAAAAAAAAAAAAAGAACACAAGCAGATACCTTATAAGCAGTATAAATCTCTTTCCACTTTTCCAAACTGGAAATAGGTTGTGTTTATCAAAAGAGAACTATCTGCATAAATTAACAGCTAAGAAAAATTTGTTTTTAATGCACTGTCCTCCGCTGTTCATCGATTTGCTCAAGCGGGCACCAAAACGTCTCCATTGTGAGACTTGTTGTTACTGTTTTTGCCATATCAAGTACGTCACATTGAGCTTGCCAGGCTCTGCCTTGCGGGCGGGATACTCTCAGTAGCTTGCCAGGCTCCGAGAGGGAGTAAGGAATCGAACCCAGATCGGCCGCGTGCAAGGCAAACGCCCTACCTGCTGTGCTATCACTCCAGCCCTTCTTTAATTAAAAAAAAAAATTTAATAAATGTAACTCGTAAGAAAGTAAAAACCATTACAGGCCTTTGCACGCACACGTGCTAACACACACACACACACCGAACCCCCCCCCACACACACACGGCACCCCCACACACACACCAAAATGTTGAAGCAGAACTGGACTTAAAAAGGCTTGTATGAGATATGCCTTATATCCTACATACACGAATTAGGTCAAAATGTACCTGTTTACATACATCTGATTGATCAAATCTGCCACAAAAAGATTACTTTTTGAGTTGAACTATTCCAGTCAGCAAGGAATAAGACATTTCCATCTTTCTAATGACTAATAAGTTGAACAGAACTTAACAATTCTCTAAAGTTCCCAAACCTTGACATCATTCAAGAGATTCCTCCCAACTATCCACCCAAACCTGCCCTTCATTAACCCCCAAACACCCCTGCTTAGTTTAATCAGAGTTTTATGTTTTTAACCGCTTTACCAAATTCACTTTTAAAAACATTCGCTTATGTATATCATGTACTTTCAATCCACAATTGATATCCACTAATTTAGAAACACAAACTAAAAAAAAAGAAAAAAAAAACTTTCCAAGTTTAAAATAGATTTTTACATAGTATCGGCATTATTTGTTTTGACTACAGGGGGAAAATTACCTTTCTGATGAAATCTTACCAACACTGGGATGGGGGGAGGGGCGGGTAGCAAATATTTCTTTACCTGAAAATAACCACCTCCACCTGACGCTTATATGCCTGATTAAATTGGTATGCAGAAGCTTAATGGTGGCTACCTTTCCAGATCTTGAATGAACTCAATTGCAGGTATAAAAATAAAGAGTCCAATAACCTGTGGCGGAATGCCTTTTATCTCTTGGGCTTTCGGTTTATGTACCTGTAAAATGGGCATGATACGCACCACCTGCCTCAGAAGAGAAGGTGGCGCGAACCGAGTGAAACTGACACGGGCTCCTCAATGAAAAGGACCCAAATGGGCCACACCTGGGTGGGAGAAGGTGGTTCGTGAGCCACTACTGCTAAAACTCGGTGACCTTCACTGCACTTGGTGAATGAAAAGGGAGGGTGATAAAGAAAAACTAACAGCAATTCATGGCTTTTTTTTTTTCTCAAGGAAATCTGATCAGTAAACGAACTGCCTCAGAGGAAATTACTTTAATATATGCAACCTAGTGTTCTTTTACCCAAAAATAAAGTAAGACTGCCTGAGTAGCAAGTGCACCCCAAAAACCCAGAGGCTGGGGCTGGAGCGATAGCACAGCGGGTAGGGCGTTTGCCTTGCACGCTGCCGACCCGGGTTCGATTCCCAGCATCCCATATGGCCCCCTGAGCACCGCCAAGAGTGATTCCTGAGTGCAGAGCCAGGAGTAACCCCTGTGCATTGCCGGGTGTGACCCAAAAAGCTGAAGAAGAAAAAAAAATAACCAGAGGCTGTACTGAGACGGGGTTTGCAGCCGCTTCTCCTCCTTCTATAATTCGAATAATGGTTTGGGAAGGGGGTTTAATAAGAAAAAAGAAAATCACACCCACCCAAGCCTGAGTGACAGAAACAAGGTGCCACCTCCACAATCCTTTCAAACCTGCACAGACATTCCTCCTGAACATTCCTCCTCCTCATTCCTATCGCATTGCTCCCCTACTTCAGGCCAGACAAAGGTGAGTCACGCTGCTGGGTCTACCTGTCACTGAAACAACCCCCCCCCCCAAAAAAAAAAAAAAGTTGGCGCTGCTTTTTTTTTTTTCCCCCATCTACTAATTGGATTTTTCTCCTCTACTAGTGAGTAGTAGATGGTATGCAAATCGCATTGCAAAAAGCACCTGTCTCCAAACCAAGAGGGGAAAAAAAAATCCATGATTAACACTACCCAAGTAGAAACACCGTTCTCGTTTTTGAAAGGGGGAGGGGAGTGGAAACCAGTTTATTGCTCATTATTACAGTTATCAATAGGTCCTGATCCCTGCAGAGTCACCCAACTCGCACTCGTCTCCGCAGGGTTCCCTCCACCTGCCAGCCCTCCCGCCCTCCCCCGAGCCCCGCGGGGTCCCCTCCTTCCCTCCCTCCTGAGGGTCCCGAATGCCGCGGCCCCGGCCCCGCCCCCACCTCGCTGCAAGGTGCCGCGGCCGCCGCGGGCTCCCGGGAGGAGGCGCGCGGGAGGTTCCGGGTGACGCTGCCCCTGCCGGCACGGTGGCCGCCGGCGGGAGCCGCACCGGGAGCCTCCGCCGCCGCCGCCGCCCGCCCCGCGCCCGGGCGCTCTGAGCAGCGCTGCAGTCCCGACTGCCCCAGTACCTGCTCCGGGCCAGCGTGGTCCCCGGGAGACGCTCTCGCTCCGGCCCCCAGCAATCCCGGGCCCCGAAGGAAGGAGGCAGCGTGGGGCGGGGGGAGAAGATTGCCGCTAAGGACAATCGGGAGCCTCTGGGCTCTGCACCGCCACGGCGGGCGCAGGACGCACGAGTCCAGCGGAGCCCGCCCCCACCTCCAGCCGCGCGAGTAACTGCCCCGGCCCCCTCCCTCGCGGGGGCGGAGCCTTACGGGAGGGGGCGGGACGAGGGCGGGGCCGCAGCGCCCACGGGGCGTGAGCGCGGAGGCGCTTTATGAGACTCACCTGCTGATAGGCTACGATGGATTCAGACTTGAAGAAAGCCTCGCCGGCAGAGCTTCCTCATTGGTGGAGAGGAGAAAACAATGCTGAACACTGATTGGCGAGAGCCCGGCTCTCAATCATCGGAACTCCACCCCCCCTCCGCCCACCCCGCTCGCTCCGTTCCCAGGTGGCTGCAGAAAGGGTAGTGTTTTATGGACGAGGAGTCTCCTTGAAGACAACCCCGGATACCGGAGTTCCCAAGCCTTCCCTAAGCCCATTGCAGTTCTTTCATTTCCGATGAACGTTAATGGTCAACATCATTTTGACATTATCGTATTGTAAAAGCTTTCGTGGGTATATTTTTGATAACTGCTAAGATTCAGAAGGAAATTGTCATAGGTGAGGAAAAGGCATGAAATGTTTTCAATCCCTGGAGAGAGTGCCCGTGACTGTTTTTTTTTTTAACCTTTCTGTGCTTTATGTTGAGCATGGATAATTTTTATAATTAGTGGGGAATCAAACTTTTTTCACAGAAAAATGGTTGAGGTACAGAGAAAATCTGAAAAAGCAAACAGGATTTTCAAGAGGCTAATTATACCATAATAAAATAAATTACCTTAATATACTCAACATTGGTGTCCTTTTGCAAAAAATAGTCGCTTTTTCCCTCAAAGAATTATAGGACTATGACTAAGATGCCCCATACTCTGCTGAGTAATTGCCATTTGTCCAAAGACAATGTAGAACGCACCACATTGATGTAAGGGAACACTCCTAACAGGAAGAATTTGGAATCCAAAGACAAGGTTTAAGCCACATCAACAACAAAAAGAGCACAGAAATAAGAAAGAGGACAGGAATTGGGAAAACTCCCCAAAAGCAAGCAATTAGAAGGAATGTGACAGCATTTCAAAAGGTGACTAGACCTTGAAATTTGAAACCTGCAGGAGGAGAGAGCTGAGATCAGGATCACTGACCCACTGTTCAAGTTTGCATTTTGTTGTAAGTGCTTCTGATTGAAATAACATTAAGTTGCTATGGAGACACTGATGGAGGGAAGTGGACAGTGATGAAGGGATTGGTGGTTGGAACATTGCCTGAAAATCATGAAAAGCTTCATAGATTATGGTGACTTGAATAAAAAAAAAAACATTAAATAGCTAATATTGGAATCAAATCATTTTTTTTCAATTTTAGAGGCTCTCAAAAAAATGGATATGCACTGACTAAATCAATCTATCAGGCACAGAGCTATGAAGAACAGAGAAAGAGACAGGCTAGGTGTGAGGACTTAATAAGACATAGACCCTGGTGGATCTCTAGACAAACCACTGGGGAAGTCAAGGGTACAATAGGTAGAAAGAAATGAGAAGGAAATGAGAAATCAGCTGGGTCAGTAAGGATCATCACAATAAAAGGGACAAAGTTCTAAATGCAAGAAATTACAAGAGAAACAATCTGCAACTGGTACAGAGGAGAAAATCTAACACACAGTCTGAGAACCCAATCATAGGACATCAATCATCACCACATCACAAAATTACCCATCCTGGAAGACCTCAAAATCTGAAAGGAATAGTCCAATTAGTAACAGGCACGGAAACAGAGCAAAGAAGACTTGTTTCACATCATCATCTCCTTCATTTCTTCAACAAAAATCATTCACAACGTTTGATATCTATTTTTTACTGTTGCATTTCTTTCAGGTTATTGATGGGTTAAGAGTGATTCTATTCGAATCAAAATTAAGACAAAACTAAAGTTCTTGGAGTAGAGATCTGTTCTACTAGTTCTGTCTTTCCTTTCATGACATGGCTTTCTCTGTCAGTTGAACTTACATCATTAGCAGATAATTTTCAAGGCGGAGAACCAGGTTCATTAAGAAGGGCCAATCAGAGGAAATGCTGCATAATGTCAAGAGATCTCAGTGCATCTAGCTGAAAGGTAGATAAGTCAAAAGATGCATCAAGAAAATTAATTTTAAAATTAATTTTAAAACCTTTCACATAGGTGGCATAATGCTTCAAAATCAGGTAAAGCAACCTCTGCACCCTAATCAAATAATTCAACAGTGATTTTAAAGATAAAGGGTATCTCATAGAATCCAGGGATGGGAGTCCATCTTCTGGAAAGAGCCACAACCTCAAAAGCCAAGAACCCAACTTAAGGGTTTTTTCAAACTTACCTCTAGCCCGGCAAGCTACCGAGAGTATTCAATATGCCAGACACAGTAACAACAAAGTCTCCAATGGAGACGTTACTGGGCCCGCTCGAGCAAATCGACGATCAACGGGAGGGCCTTTACCTTTACCTCTATGTTGGCTCCACTCTTCCCTGGAAAACGACTTTCTCAGCTCCTAAATCCAAGAATTGGCATAAAACTGCCACGCAGATGTATGTGGGCAAACATACAGAGAGAGAGAGAGAGACAGAGAGAGAGAGAGAGAGAGAGAGAGAGAGAGAGAGAGAGAGAGATGCACACACACTCAACTCCTTTGAGGCAACCCCAAATTCTGTGGAGAGAAAACATGATTGGCCCAACCTGGTTTCATGCTGACACCCATGATCAAGAGGGTGATGGAGGAACAGGGTAACCAACTGGCTGCCAAGGCATATTCCTGTTGAAGAGAGAGATTTTCACTGAGAATAGACACTTGGCAGATTATCTGATGGTATTCATCTTGTTCTTAATAGGCAGTCAGTGGACTCCATTTTCTATTCAGTGAATGCTTTCACCTGTTTAGTTGTACTGAAATGGATCAGAGGCCAAGAACAAAGTGGTGATTGCCAGTTTTTAGAGTGCTCTTTAAATATATTTCAGTTGACTTTATGCACCAAGAACCCTTGTGTTTTCTAGTTTTGAGTTCCCACTAGCTCTTCTACTCATTCCCAAAATCTCTCTTAAAATACTTCTATTAGAGCCAGGAGTAAGCACCCCTGAGTGTGCCCCCAAAACAAGCAAACACAACACACATACAAAGCAGTGGCAATGAACACACACACACACATTGTGGCTGAGATAGGACCAGCTTGGAGAACAACTGGTGTTAGGATGGATAGTTAAAAAGGTAGATCTCTGTTGGCCTCTGCCCTCCAGTATCCACTCCCCATGGAAGATCTGTCCCTGCCACTGGACAGAAACAGGTGGTCCCATACCTTTCCTGATTTCTTTTGGAGACCCTTTGATGCCTTGTTCTCTGGTGAGATTAAAGGAGAAGCTCTTGCCAGAGTGATTAGATTGTATACTGCAGGCTCTCTTCTAATACAGATCTCTTTTCAGAAATTCTTTGCAAAACTTTACTTCCTCTGTATATCAAATTTGGAGGGAAGGTTTTTGAGTGTCACCCAGAAGCTAAGACATTACCTTCAAAATTTGCTTCCTGTGCAGGTAGTTTCCAAGACAATTGCTCCTCTGTTGTCTGTTGGGGCTGCTGTCAGAACTATACCTTCATATCCTCTACTATGGTGAAGCTCTGAACACTGCTCATGTAATTAACGCTAAGAACACAGAGCTAAGAAAACACGTTCCACAAAATTACAGGCTGTCAGACACACAGTGCCTTGAGAATCAGGGAGAATGGAGCACCCACTCTTGCCTTGGTGGTGGAAGCTGGTGGGTCACCATGACACAGAGAAGCAACCTCAATTGCCAGCACAGGGACAAACATTTAGATAAGGGATTTGGAGAAGGAGCATTTCATTTATCTTTACTGTTTCCAAGGAAATGGAAAGTTCATAAAATAGCACAGCTTTGCTCTACCTTAAGAATATCATAACACCAGGAGGACTGGTTTATGGTAGGAAGCTTGCCACCAAGGGGACTGGAAGGGCTGTTAGGACAGAGAAGGGACCACTGTAACAGTGATAGTTGGAAATGATCACTCTGGACAAAAACTGAGTGCTGAAAGGAGATAAAGTGATATGCATGATACCGTTTCAGTAACAGTATTGCAAACCACAGTGCCTAAAAGGAAAATAAGAACAAGAGCAAGAGAGAGAGAGAGAGAGAGAGAGAGAGAGAAATATCTGCCATAGAGGTAGGCTGAGTGTGCGGGGAGTAGGGATTGGAGGGAGCCAGGAGGAAAACTAGGAACATTGGTGGGTCAGAAATGTGCACTGGTGAATGGGAGTTGGAACATTGTATAACTGAAACTCAATCAAGAACAACTCTGTGACTGCATGTCTCACAGTGATTCAATTTTTAAAAATTTTAAGATTTAACAGTATTCAGATAGCAACAAACAGCTTCCGATAATGATTAATGGCTCCATTGTTAGATATGACAATTTTCTCATTTATTTATTTATTTATTGGGGGGGGTTGGGCCCATGCTGGTGGTGCTCAGGGCTTACTCCTGATTCTGAACTTAGGAATCATTCCTGGTTTCCTCAGGGCACTGTATAGGATGCTCTGGAAGAAACCATGGTTGGCTACATGCAAGGCAAGCGCCTGCCTGCTGTACTACTTTTCCCACTGCACAATTTTTCTTTAATTGAAGTATTTTTTTGATAATTCCATTAGTCATTTAGTAGTAAAAAGCACTACAAAATAACTTTTTTGTGCATGCCAAAGGGGCAGGTTGGAGGGAGGAGGTGGGTAGAAAACTGGTGACAATGGTGGAAGAAGTCACAATGACAGTGGGATTGGCACTGGAACATTGAATGCCCAGAACAACTGTATTAAGAACAACATTGTGAACCACATTGTTTAAGTAAAGTAATTTTTAAAAAAATCACAATGGGGGCTGGAGCTATAGTACAGCAGTTAGAGCACTGTTTGCATGTGGCCAAACTGGGTTTAGTTCCTGTTAGCCATATGGTCCCCTGAGCC